AACAACTGAAGTTAATAAATCTTTTAGAGAAAGTCTCCCCAGGGAAAGAAGAAAAATGGCATCTATTCTTAGGATCATGGAGTTGGAAGGGACCTCCAGGGTCAATGCAGGAAAATCACAATGCAGGAAATTCACGAATACCTCCCCCCACACCCCCAGTGACCCGTATTCCATGCCCGGAAGATGACAAAGAACCTCCAGGATCTCCAGCCAAAGTGGTCTGGAGAAAAATTGCTTCCTGTCCCCAAAGTGGTGATCATTTAAGAAAGGGCCATGAGAACTAAGCACTGAGGCAACCCTTCCTGCCCTCCCTCTCATGAGCTGCCTAAGTTCACAGAATCAGTATTACTGTCAGATGGCCATCCAGCCTCTGCTTGAAAACCTCCCCAGAAGGAGAGCCCACCACTTCCCGAGGAAGCCTGTTCCACTGAGGAACCGCTCTGTCAGGAAGTTCTTCCTAATGTTTAGCTGAAAACTCATTTAATTTCAACCCGATGGTTCTGGTCCAACCTTCTGGGGCAACAGAAAACAACTCCACCCCATCATCTATAGGACAGCCCTTCAAGTACTTGAAGATGTTGATCATGTCACCTCTCAGTCGTCTCCTCTCCAGGCTAAACATACCCAGCTCCTTCAACCTTCCCTCGTGTGACTTGGTCTCCAGCCCCAACCCCAAGGCTCAGGGGAGTAGTATAATGTCAGAGAGTCTTAAGACCACTACTTGAGATCAACTAGACTAGGGGTTCCCCTGGCATCCCCCCAGTACTTTCCTTGGTACCTGCCGAGCTTTTCAGAAAGTGGGTGGAGCTGTTGTGAATCAGGGCTTGTTATTGGTTGCCCTCTTTCAAATGAAAGAGTTGTCCACTGGAGGATCAGGACTGGTTAGCACCTGGCCTTTCCTTAGCCAGTGCGTGTTTCCATTTCCTCTTCAGGATTTCCTTCTGCCCAGGTTGTGTGAGGAGGGAGGTATTCCATTGGGCTCCATCTCCTGAGGCGGCCATTTTGGATTTGGCTCTGGGAGCCACTTTGGGGTGGCGCTCACTTCTCTTGCTCAGAATTCCAAAAGTGCCCTCAGGCTCAAAAAGGTTGGGGAACCCTGGACTAGATGACAGATGTGACGTTAAGTCCCATCAAAAACCTCCTGACCTGACTCACAGACACACATAACATTGGGGAGCTAACATCCCCAAACACTCTGGGCCTGATTTGGTTTTGGAGCATGGTGCGGGTGGAGGCGGGGCTACGGCCTTCCCTCCTGTGCCATTTTCCTGAGCGGAAATGGCCATAGGGGGGTGTTTGCCCCACTGTGGGATTCCACAAGTCCTGCTTGCCAAATGTTTACCTAAAACCAGGGGTCATTTCCTGCAGGAGCGCACAGAAGCGGAGCTCCGGCAGTAAAGACCCCAGGGGACGGGCACATGCAACAAGCCCCACCCCCTGCTCCCAGCAGCCCTCAGTCAGAGCAAGAAGCAGCCAGGTAAGTTGCAGAGCTCTCCCCGGCCCCCCGGTCCAAACCAGTCCATTGGCACCTTTAAGACCAAGTTTTATTCAGGTACAAGCTCTCCCTCCTCTGCGAGGACAGATCTGCACGTTCTCCCCCCCCCCAATTTGGAATATGCAAATAAGTTATGCTAATGAGCTCCTGCACCTCTTTTTCTACAAAATGACCCCTGCCTAAGAGAGAACGAAGTTTTGGCGAGGGCTGTCACCTTTGGAACTGGTTCTTGTGCCTATCCCTTTCACAGTAGTTTGATCTGCCAATGTAAGAGGACAAAATGATGTTTGCCAGCATCTGGCGGAGGGCTTCATAGGATTGCCAATCCCAGTTTGGGAAATTCCTGGAGATTTGGGGGTGGAGACTGAGCAGGACCAGTTCTGGGGAAAAGGAGGACCCTCAGCAGCATATAGTGCCACAGAACCACCCCCCAAAGCTGCCATTTCCTCAGTTACAATTCTGGGAGTTTTCCAGGCCCCACCAAGAGGATGGCAACCAAACCTGTCACTTTCTGCTTGAGGCACAGGCCCAATCATTTTCTTTCCTGGTCAGATGACCACCCCAATGTTAGTCTTTCTGGAAGATTAAGACTTTGAGCTGCCTGCATTTTGACAGTTAAAACTGGTAGTTATTTTAAGCGTGCATTTGAATCTTTGCTCAGTCAAGAAGCTAATTTGGTGGCCTTGTAAAACTCTCTGCGCCTGACCTACCTCACAAGGTCGCTGTGAGGTTGAACTCCCTCGTCTATCACCCCGGGCCCCTTCTGAGGAAAGACAAACCACACAGGCGACCAAGAGGTTCCTTTTAAAAAACAAGTCAGTTTATTTCTTTCTTAATCGAGTTTATAAAAATTTGTTAGAATTCAAAAAAAGTATGACTCTTTACATATATACAAACGCACGTTGGGGAAAAATAAATAGAAGAGGTGCAAATATTTTAAAAATCCCATTATATACATATTAAACCATACTAGGCTTCGATACCCCTGTTATAAATATATGGGACGGTGGCACACAGCACAGAAAAGGCATCAAACAGTTCTGCAGGACTGAGACAAACTTCAGTTACCCAGAAAAGAACCTTGACTTTGGTTGGAATGGGATTGAAGAGAAGTTGGCCCTCCAAGGAGAAGCTTTAAAAAGACAGATGTCTGCCCAGCAGAGTTTATGAAGGAAGTGCTTCTTTTCTCTGGAGAGAACATTAGCATGCCCTACCTTTTGGGTGTATGTGTGTTTAAGTTTACCTCAGACTGGGAACATCTGAAGCATATTTTTAAAATAGTTTTTACCTCATTATTTTAACTTCGGGGGGGGGGGGAGTACTTTTTTCTGAATTTCTGTAGGCACACTACATCAAAAAAGGCACATTTTAGGGTACAAAAGAACAACCCTCTCTCAGTAGAGCTCACTGTCTAATCTCTGTATGAGTCTCTGTTCTGACTGGGCTTACTCCAAAGGGAGGTGATTTTGATTGATGCATTCCCCTACCGGGAGTAACTGAATTAAACAACCATACCCAATGTGGAGCCACGGCAGAACTGCATGGCCCACTGACAGCAGGTGGCATGCAATCGGCAGCACAGTAGTAAACCAGAGATACAGCAGGCAGCCTCCATTCCAAATGGATATTTGAGGCCAATGAGGTGGGGTGGGGATTACAATTCTTTTGTGGCTCCCAGTCTGGGAATTACACTTAAGGATCTGGCCCCATTAAATATAACATGATTGTTTAAAGCCTTAAAATTCCATTACAGAATGCAAAAAAAATTGTCTGATGCATAGTTCTGTTTTTAAAATATTGGACGGGACCCTTTCAAACGCAAGGGTTTCTTTCACATTTCCTTCCCAGGGATTCTCACGAAACCTATGAAATGGCATGTAATTTTGTCCAGGAAATACAGCTGCGGTTGCGTTTCTAGGATTACAGGAACAAAGAGGCAGGTGGACACCTCTAACTCTCATCCTTTCATCCAACAAACCGTGAGTGGTCTTTCAACAAGACAGCTTTGGCTGGAAGGGCTCCGGGAAACCTTCTGACAATTGTGGTATTCAAGTGGGAAGGCCGTAGGAGCAAGACTGCCGAGATGGAGGAACTTGGGGGGGGGGTTTACAAAAATTCTGGGGCCTCAGTCACTGTTGTGGAGTTGCCATGGAGATGGGCCAGTCATGTGGTTTGTTTTCACAATATGTGGGGTGGGTCTGGGAGCTGCAAAGGGAGACCCTGAGGGAATCGGTGTCAGGGGGCTTCCAGGCAAGGCTTAGCTGGTCTGCACACATCTAAGGGGATTGGGAACTGCAAAGTGTAATGACAAGGGAGAGTATCGGTGGCTCTGATGTTACGAGTCAGGTTTCCACTGCCCAGTTCCTGCCCAACTGTGCATGCTGGAAAATACTGCAGATGCTATAATGGTGACAGACGCCAGCTCCCTGCACATACGACCCCATGTTTTACATTAATGTCCCGGCATGTGGTAGTATTGTGCTGAGAAACTGGACCAGGTAAAGCCTCAAATCTCAGCACTGGCACAAAAGGCAGCATGAAAACCAACTCGGCCACAACCCACTGAGCCACAACCCGCACAACCCCCACTGTGACTCGAAGCATGTGGAAATATGGCCTATGGCTCCGCCGCCGTATTGCATGCGACAGCAATCTTTCGTAACTGTGCAGACAAGACGGTCCAGTTGCTAACAGTGGCTAGAGTGCAACAATGCTGCAATATCCAGCGATGAACGCCTGAAGCTGGCTTTATACTGGAATCAGACCATTGGTCCTTTGGGGTTCAGTCTTATCTATTCTGACTGGCAGGTCTTTCCCATCGCGTACTGCCTGGCCCTTTCAAGTGGAGATGCCGGGGATTGAACCTGGGACCTTGTGCATGCCAAGAAGATAATTCTACTGCTGAGCCACTGCCCTGCCCCTTATATGATTGCAGCCGATGACTGAGGATCCATAGACAATGACTCACACAGGCCAGTCAGAGCTGATCTAAATAGTCATGGTGGTAAAATGTGAAAGACTGTACCATTTTACACTGCAGGGGTGTGTTTGTGTGAATTAGTCCTGCTCGTACATGTCTCCCTGCATGCTGGAGAAATGTAGGCTAGAGAACTCTGCCAAGGAAATTTCAACGGGCGGGCAGATTTTGGCTGGGTGGGCAGGCTGTAATCCTGTCCCTATAGCCTCGCGTCACATTCCCAAAGAACCCACATGTCACATTCCCAAAGAACTCAGTTCTGTGTGACTACTCTGACTTTGCAGAGCTGCCTCTTGGGAAGGCAAGCAAAATAATTCATAGAACAAAGTTTGAGTCCGGTGGCACCTTTAAGACCAACAAAGTTTAATTCTGGGTCTAAGCTTTTGTGGGCACGCACAAGTGTGTGTGCACAAGAAAGCTTAGACCCAGAATTAAACTTTGTTGGTCTTAAAGGTGCCGCTGGGCTCAAACTTTGTTCTCCTGCTTCAGACCCACACGGCTACCCCACCTGAAAGTATTTCACGGCAACTCTACACTCTGTATTTTGCAAACGAAGATACGAGACTGAAAGACCAGATGGCGAGTGCTCGCTCATCCGGACAAGTCAGTTTCGGCAGGCAAGTCAGGGTCTCCTGAAAAGAGGGCCAGTTTAGTAAAAGGCGGACGCTTTAAATAAGTTAGTCTAAGGGGTAGCCATAAATAAAGGATGTTCTGGTGTCCCCAGACACAGTGTTTGCATTGTCACAGTTTAAGGAGGCAAGAGAGCTCCACCTTGGAACAGTCAGGCTTTGCAAGTGCGAGTGAGAAAAATAAGAAGACTGAGAGGTGGCAGCCATGTCGTTCAGCCGTGCTGCTCTCTTCGGCACTCGCCTTCTTCTCTTGCCGTTTTGGCCGGTTCGATCCTCACTCAGTATGGTGAGTCTTCAAAGAAGGACATTTCAGAGCGAGCTGTTTGCTGATCTGAGGGGGAGAAGAGGGGGGAAAAATATGTAAGGAGGCTGAACAGAAATTTATTCAGAATTGTAAAGTCACTGGTGGGAAACAAAAACCCAAGAACCAGGCAATTGTGGGGAGGAGGGGGGACGACAAATTTGGTATCTGAAGCAGTTTGCAGGAAGTGATTCGCTCTTGTTGAAAGCTGCCCTTTAACAGACTTGAGATACTCCCATTGATGGAACACTTCCAACCCAGCAACATGCATGTACGAACTTACCCGACCACTACAATAATCTCCGGAAGCCCTGTTTTAGTTGCCCCTGTGGTTGTGACAGGATTTATAATTTCAAGATATTCCCTTTTTATTATAGTGTGTTAATTTGAAGACCTCCCCTAAGGTCACATGTTCAAATAGCCAGTTCAGCTACTTGAGCGGGCTTGTGTGAACCTGTTGGAGTTGCCCCTTAGATTTAAACTGCTTGAACTACACCTCGTTCTTCTGGTCTCAGTTCTGGAAGCCAGAAACATTACACCTAGGTGGTGAGCAACCCAAGACAGGGGCTTTTTGGTTACGGCTCCAAGACTGCGGAACTCTCTCCCCGGGGATATTTGCCTGTCTACTTCTGTTGATGTCTTCTGCCAGCAGGTAACTTTTCTTTTTCTTGCGTCTAGCTTTCCCTCAACAATTCGTCCCTCCCCACCCTGTGTTTTTAGCTGATGTCTCTTTTGTTTTTGTATTTCGGCTCTGGTTTTTAACTTATTTTTATGATGCATTCTTATACTGCTCCGTTTTTATTTCTCAGGCATATTGAGGGGGGCCAGCAGGACTGAAAGGTGGGATATAAATCGTTCAAATAAAGAATGAAAACCAAAGTAATAATTAATAAATAAGTTAAGCCCCTAGGGTCACATGTTCAAGTAGCCAGTTCAGCTACTTGAGCGTGCTTGTGTGAACCTGTTGGAGTTGCCCCTTAGATTTAAACTGCTTGAACTACTCCTCGTTCTTCTGGTCTCAGTTCTGGAAGCCAGAAACATTACACCTAGGTGGTGAGCAACCCAAGACAGGGGCTTTTTGGTTACGGCTCCAAGACTGCGGAACTCTCTCCCCGGGGATATTTGCCTGTCTACTTCTGTTGATGTCTTCTGCCAGCAGGTAACTTTTCTTTTTCTTGCGTCTAGCTTTCCCTCAACAATTCGTCCCTCCCCACCCTGTGTTTTTAGCTGATGTCTCTTTTGTTTTTGTATTTCGGCTCTGGTTTTTAACTTATTTTTATGATGCATTCTTATACTGCTCCGTTTTTATTTCTCAGGCATATTGAGGGGGGCCAGCAGGACTGAAAGGTGGGATATAAATCGTTCAAATAAAGAATGAAAACCAAAGTAATAATTAATAAATAAGTTAAGTAGAGGAGCTTGAAGGGGGACATGATCGCTCTCTTTATGTATCTGAAGGGCTGTCGTTTGGAGGAGGGCAGGGAGCTGGTTCCTGTTGCAATCATGGGCCAGTGTTGTCTCTGTATTGTAGACTGGGGGGGCAAGGCAATGATGAGAGAAAGTAGCCAGTCTGAGTTCGGGGCCAAAATGAAATTTTCGCTAGGCATTTCCCAATTCGCAACTTGGTCTCAAGCACTTAACTCGAGAATCTGCTTGCTTTTTTAAAAAAACGAAATGCCCTAGGAAAGCCCCGAATGGGGGGGGAGGGGGTTGGTTTTGTTAAGGGACAGTGCCAAGGAATGTATCCACAGCTGTAGAATTCCACACCAGCTCCTGTCTTTACCACATTCTTTGGTCAAAAGCTTCAAGGTTAGAGACGTGAATATCTACTAGGCAAAGTGCCACGAGATTACCCAAATTGCATTCATTAAATTTCATTGTGGTAGAGCAGCTTGCCAAGTTACAGCACGTTGTCTCAGCTCCTGTGCTCAGACTCGCTCCCTTTTACACCCTTTCTGGCTTCTGTGAACAGAAACTGCACGTTCCAAATAACCTTTCAGCAAACGTCTGCTAAATTACTTTATCAGCATTCCTTTCGCAATCATGGGCCAGCGTTGTCTCTGTATTGTAGACTGGGGGTGGGTGGGCAAGGCAATGATGAGAGAAAATAGCCAGTCTGAGTTTGGGGCCAAAATGAAATTTTCGCTAGACGTTTCCCAATTCGCAACTTGGTCTCAGCACTTAACTCGAGAATCTGCTTGCTTTTTTAAAAAAACGAAATGCCCTAGGAAAGCCCCGAATGCACGGGGGGGGGGGGGGCGTTGTTAAGGGAAGGGCGC